AAACAGGGTCACCAGAGGGAGGTCACATCCTCCTTTGGAATGGCCAGCACTGGGCCGCTGGCTGGGCTGGAGTGACCTCTTTAACCGAGACCGGACAGTCAGAGGAGGAGTAATCAGGCATTTGATTATGACCCACCTGTTGGCACAGGAAATGACACATTAAAAGTGTTCTAGCCCAGCCGGTGAGGCTCCGTGGTTGAGCATCCACCCAGGAGCCAAGAGGCCACTGGTTTGATTACCGGGCAGGGCACATGCCCATGGTGCGGGCTCAATCCCGTCGGGGGAGGGGGGTGGTGGCTAGAGGCAGCCGATGACGATGTTTCTCTCTCATCGATGTTTCTATGTCTGGATCTCTCTTCCACCCTCTTTCTCTAAAAAATCAATAAAGACATTTTTTTAAAAAAAGTGTTCTATCCATGGCATTTATTATTGTTACTACTCTTATATATCTCAAAGAGTAAGTCATCTTTGTGATTTGATTCAGGTACCCATCTTCATAGATAACTTTTAGGACAGTCCTGTCATTGGATTTCTTTACAGCAAGCAAAATACCAGAGGCCACTCGAAAACCCGTTTTATTGCATTTATGATCATGAAGCCTCAAGTCAGAGCCTCTGTAACTTAGTGTATTTAATGCTGCCCCGTGAAGCAGCTGCAAAGCGTGAGGCTGTCACGACACCTCATTGGCCTCTGTTTCCAAAGCCAGACACGAGGACTCATTCGCCATTGCGGCCGCCGTCTCCAGGGGGAGTTCAGACCGTGGCCAGGGCTGCAAGCCCTTTGACCAAGAATGAATGAATGGATGGATGAGTGGGTGGGTGGGTGGACGGATGGGTGGATGGAACAATAAAAATCATTTCATCTCTTCTTTAAAAAAATGACTTCCTTTTGGATTAAACATACTGTGTGTCCTCCTTGGAAACTGCCCCGTGGGCCGGCTCCTTCGGAAGCCCAAGGCCACGTCCCTGTGGCTGCCACTGACTGCACATGCGCTGTGCTTTGGTGAAGGTGGTAGAGCTGGACTCTAACCACCGTGTGGAGTCACTTCGGGTTTTGGTTTCTCCCCGGTGTTTGTGATGCACGTGTTAGTGAAGCATTTGTTTTCCTCTCGTTAATCTGTCTTTGATTACAGGGGTCTCAGCCAAGAACGGAGAAGGCAAAAAGAACATTAAGTTCCCTCCCTTACAAGTACAAGGCTGTTCGCTGGGGAGCCCCGGCGCTGGGGGATGGGGCGCGGGGCCGGGCCTGAGCGGCTCGACCTGGCGATGCTCTAAGCCTGAGAGCTGGCCGAATAGCCCTTGTCCGGCCCCCAGCCTGCAGTCCCCCCATACTCCAGCCTTGTTTGCCCAACTCTGGTTCCGGGCTTCCACCCAGGTTCTGGGTTGCCTCTTAGTTCTCCAGGCAGAGATTCAAGAGCAGCCCTGAGTCCTGCCGATGCGGCGGAAACTCGGATACATGGCTCGGCTTTTCCTAGCTCACTCCTTGGAGCCTAAAACTATTGTCCAAATATCCTCAGTTAGTTGGAATCCTATCGCAAACCGGAAAATGAGGTGAAGTCATGACTCTCCGAGAACCCCATCTGCTACTGGTCCTACCCAGCAGACAGGGTTCTTGGACCAAGCCCAGACCCATCAACCTCTTTTGGATCCTGGGAACCTGGTGGATTCCAGTCTCCGGGTACACTAGTCTCCCGAGCCCTGACCCCCAGCCTGTCCCGACTCTCGGCCGCTTCCCTCTGGTTCACCGCTGACATCCACGCTGGATTGCAGGTAAGGCCATCCGTCAACCAACAGCAAACTGGGAAGACCTAAGACTAGTCTTCGGGACCCGCAGAGGTGGTTTCTACGGATGTGGAGTTTTTATGGGGTGGGGTGTGGGATCTAGAATGGTGGTCGCCAACCGTTTTGGACCTCAGGGACCACAAGTGGTTCGTGGACCACCGGTTGGCGACCGCTGATCTAGAAAGCCCTCCACCTAAAGTATTTCTCATTCCTTCTATTCCCTGCTCTCTCATTCCCCCCAGACACACACCTGGCCCATCCTCTCTCCAGGCTGGAAATGCCACTGGTGGTGTTTCCTTTTGGAGTTACACTGTTGTGACTGCAGAAGAGAGGGGAACCCGCTCTTTTCCTCTATGAACCCCTTACAGAGGCTTATGTCCTCCTTGCTTTCCACAGCGTCTGCAAATGCAGCCCGAGGAGCTAAGCGGCAGAACACTGAGGTGTGGGCTGACTATGCACCCACTTGCCCGGGCAGTGCCAGCCCATGTGTGTTGTCTTGGTGTTATTTTTATTGGTGTCCCATGTCACTCCTGCCCAGGTTTGGCCATGAGTGAATATGCGTCTAAGTCCTAGGGAATCATACGAGGACTTGGGTTTTGTCTTCTCCCCCTCCCTCCTTCTTCCCTCTCTTTCTTTCTTACTCTTCGCTATGTGTGGACCCTGGAGATGCAGAGATGGGTAAGACACCCCCTGCACCACCACCACTATGTGTGCCTGTGAGGAGCTCTGCTCAGTGGGGAGTAGCTGGGGATGAGGGTGGGGAGGCAGAGAGAAGAGTAAGTGTAATGCGCTCAGTGTTACAGTTGGGTGAAGTTGCCGTGATTAAACCAAGGAGGGAGCATCACCTCTTTCTGGGAATAGGAGGCAGGGAAGGTGGCATGATGAAGCGGAACCCAAGGGAAGGTTTGAAGGACAAGGAGCTCTGTGGCCGGAGACCAGGGGAGGAGGGCTTTCCAGCAGACACCCTAGAACTGTGGTTGGCAAACCGCGGCTCGTGAGCCACATGCGGCTCTTTGGCCCCTTGAGTGTGGCTCTTCCACAAAATACCACGTGCGGGCGCACACGTACAGTGCGATTGAAACTTCGTGGCCCATGCACAGAAGTCGGTATTTTGTGGAAGAGCCACACTCAAGGGGCCAAAGAGGCGCATGTGGCTCGCGAGCTGCAGTTTGCAGACCATTGCCCTAGAGTAACGACCTTAAGTCAAAACTTGTGAGGGGCCCGAACGTCTTGTCTCTGGGAAGTTTTCACGAGGTCAGTGTTGCAGAGGAAGGAGATCAGGGAGGCGGGACATGCGGCCAGAAACCGACGTGGAAGCTGGTCACGGAGGGCCTTGAATGCCACACTAAAAAGTGTGCACGGGGTGCCAGGGGATGTTTTGAGTAGAGGAATGATCCAACCAGAGAAAGCTGTTGGAAAACTGGTCTAGAAGCAATGTGGTGCACGAGAGGAGAGAGACGAGCCTTGAGTTTAAGGAGATTGCAGGGGATTCCCAGCCAGTAGCCTCTCTTCTTCCTCGGAGTTGCTAGGTGAGAGGGAAGGTCCTAATTGGACAGTGAACAAGTGAAAAAGGTGTCTCCCACCAGTGTTCCGAGTGGGATGGCATTACAGGGGCAGCCACACGCATCCTGACACCATGATGGCAGAAGCATTGTACAGTGTGATGGGCTGGATTGTGTCCCCACGAAATTCCTATTTTGAAGCCCTACACCCCAGGAGTTCGGAAGGTGACTGTATTTGCAGGTAGGGTCTTTAAGAAGTGATTAAGGTAAAATGGGTCCATGTGGGTGGGCCCTAATCCAATATCATTGGTGTCATTATAAGAAGAGGAACTCGAGACACACAAAAGGAGACCGGAGGGGTGTGGTCGTACAGAGGAGAGGCCATGTGGAAACACAGCAGGAAGATGACCATCTGCAAGCCAAGGAGAGAAGCACCACAAGAAACCAAACCTCCGGACACCTTGACCTTCACCTTCCAGAGCCATGAGGAAATACATTTCTGTGTTTAAGCCACCCAGGCTGCAGCATTTTATTATGGCAGCCTAAGCAAGCTAATCCATAGAGTCTAGTCGTAGACATAGGTAGTGTCTTAGTCTGTTCAGCTGCTATAAGAACATACCACGGACTGATAATGGTGAAGGCCCTCCTCTAGGCTGCAGGCTGCTGACTTTTTGCTGTGTCCTCACATGGCAGAGGGTGAAAGCAAGCTCTTGGGCATTCCTTTCATAAGGGCACTAATCCTGTTCCTGAGGGCCCCACCTTCATGACCTAACCACCTCCCCCAATCCTCCCTCCGAATACCATCACCTTGGAATTTCAACATATAACTTTGGGGGAGACACAAACACTCAGACCATACCAGGGAGCTCCCCTGGCAGTGGCCTTATCTCATTTGTTTGACTCCTATCACACGGGAAGGTCTCAGGGAATTGCCTGGAAGAAAATCTGGAGTGTGAGAACCAAGAGAAAACCACAGGAAGGCTCATTTGCCCGTGAAAGCAGGTTGGTGAGTGTAGTGAAGAGAGCGGGAATGGATGATAAAGCTACTTCAGATCAGTTTTAAAGTATCGAGTAGTTCTGTTGAACTGTTTTATTTTTATTTTTTAATCTGAACAATAAAGATTTAATTAAAAAATAAAATAAAATGTACAATTCAGTGTTTTTAATTATATTCAGAGTTGTACAATCTAACAATTACCACTATCTAATTTTAGGATCTTTCCTTTTTCTTTCTTTCTTTCAAAAAGACATGCTCAGCCCTAGCTGGTTTGGCTCAGTGGATAGAGCCTGGACCTTTGGATGGAAAGATCTAAGGTAGCGGTTCTCAACCTGTGGGTCGAACGACCCTTTCACAGGGGTCGCCTAAGACCATCAGAAAACACATATATAATTATAATTGTTTTTGTGATTAATCACTATGCTTTCATTATGTTCAATTGGTAACAATGAAATTGGGGGTCGCCACAACATGAGGAACTGTATTAAAGGGTCGCAGCATTAGGAAGGTTGAGAACCACTGGTCTAAGGTTTATTTCTACCTCAATTGCTGGCTCCTACCCAGCCTGGCCCTGGTCTGGGCTTGGGCAGGAGGCAACCAACTGATGTGTTTCTCTCACATGGATTATTTCTGTCTTTCCCTCCCTCCCCCACTCTCTCTAAACATCAATGGGAAAATATCCTCGGGTGAGGATTAAAAAAACAAGCAAAGGTGGGTAACCTGGTCAGAAGTCATATCTTCAAAGTGCATGCAAGCTGCTCCTCCTAGGGGTCCGGACTGAATGTTTGAGAGCATCTCCAGGAAGGCCTGCGGGGATGGCGCCTCCGCAGTCTGGAAGGTGTTCTGGACTCTGCTGAACAGGAAGAAGTGTTTCGCCTCCAGCCAGAGGAACCCGAAGTGGTTCTCATCGAACAGGATGAAGACTCCAGGGTAGCGCCAGCGGTGGGCGAAGCCATCAAAGGTAATAGTAACAGTGTCCACGCCATAGAAACACATCCTGCAGGTTTGGGGGTAGTTCCGGTCTCTTGAGCGCACGCCCACAGGCAGAACAAACGGAACAGGCTGCTCCTCTGCAGCTGCAGCCCCGGACTCCCCGACGCTGGGCTGGGCAGGGCTCTGCCAGCCATGGCCCTCGCTTTCCTCAGTCCCGTCTTCTTGCTGCTGCTGCTGCTCCCAGATCACCTGCTCGTCAATCTCCTGGACCACGCGGGAGAGCTCGTTGAAGTTGCGGAAGATCTCGCCATCTCGCAGCTGGATGCGGCGCCTGAGGTGGATCTCTAACGTCTTGGCTATTCCCGTGACTCTCGTGACCCTGGCATACTTCCCATGGAAGCTGAGCATGGCCATCATTAGGCCGTAGTTGCCTTGGAAGAGGCCTGGCCTGATGAGGTCGTCCGGGTGGCTCGGCGGGAGGTAGAGGCGGCGGTAGATCTGGCAGTCATACTGCTGTCTGTCCTCCTGCACCAGCACCAGCCCCCCTTCTCCCCTAAGCCGCGTTGGGGAATCCTTTCGGTGGTCTGTCTTCCTGCACTGGAGGGTGAGCCTGTCCTTCCGAATCTGCACGTGGCAGTTGTGGGGCCTGCTGAAGCGGCCTTCCAGGCACTCCACCGTGGCTGATTTCCTCTCCGTCAGGCGAATTCTGAACGAGGGCTTGAATTGCAGTGTACCATCCCCATGGAAGTTAAGGTAAGGTCCGCACGTCCAACCAGTAATGCATAAGCCGTCCACCACGACATTCAGCAGTGTTCTATAGTCATCATGTAGCTGCCACAATCCCAAAATGTGTCTGTATGGGTGGAGCAGCTTTGCATAGACTTCTCGATAAGACATACCGATCATCTCCAGGTTCTGCAAGTTTTCACAGACACCAAACTCCTCGCGGCAGCGCCGTCTCCAGATGCTGTCGATGTGCAGGATGTGGTGGAATTTGGTGCAGGCCCGGGCCAGGCTGGGCAGATTGTTGCCGGGGAGCGAGGCGAAGATCTCCACCAGCATCTCCACCGGCAGGTCCTGCAGGGAGCAGTGCGGGGGCGGCATGAGGCTCGAGATTCCTCCACTCCCCGCACAGCACCGTGCTGCCGCGTCCGCCACGACGTGCTTTTCTGCAGGGGCCATGGCCAGCTGGCCATTGGCCGCTGCCGTCTCAGTTGGGCCTTGGCGCTGCTGACGACATCGACATTCCCGAGAAGAGCCCACGGCACAGATGCAAGCGCACTCTTCCATGCCTCCACGTGTAACAGCCACCACAGCATGGGCCTCCTAGCCTCAGCCAGACTTTAAGCTGAGTCCAGCCACGCCCACCAGGGCCTAGCCACGCCCCCTCAGAGAGGAGCTAATTGTAGGATTTCAAACCCATACCCATTAACAGTTGCCTTCCTTTCCCAGTGCCCCCTCCCTGTCCTCCTGCCCTAGCCCCAGGCAGTCTCTAATCTGCTTTCTGTATGGATATGCCTCCAGGGATATGCTTATGGGTGGGGATGGGGGGGTGGAGAGGGGACATTTCACATAAACGCAATCATAATATCTGGTCTTCTGTAACTGGCTTCTTTCACTTAGCATAACATTTTAAAGTTTTATGTATGCTATATTCTAGTGTATGGGTATATCACATTTTGTTTACCCATTCATCAGTTGGTGAATATTTGGGTTGTTTCCAGTTTGAGGCTCTTATGAGTAACGCGGCTGTGAACATTGTGTACAAGTTTTTTGTGTGAAGATGTTTCCGTTTCTTTTGGGTATGTACCTAGAAGTGGAACTTTTGGGTCATCTGGTAACTCTATACTTAGCATGTTGAGGAACTGCCAAAAGTGTTTTCCAACGTGGCCCCATTATTTTACATTTTCACCAGCAATGTACGAGGGGTCCAATTTTTTAAACATTCTCATAAATGCCTTTTAAAAAAATATATTATAGTCATCCTAAATAGTGGTATTTTATTATAGTTTAGAGCAGAGTTATTGACTGTAGGCTGACTTGACCTTGAACTCCATAAGGGAAATCTCTCTTTTTTTAATTGCTTAAAGTATTACAAAGGTCTCCTTTTTTTTTCTCCCCTTGACATTGCCCCGGGCTCCCCTACCCCCCAGTGTCTTATGTCCATTGGTTATGCTTATATGCATGCATACAAGTCCTTCGGTTGATCTCTTACCCCCACTTCCCACCCCACAACCCTCCCCAGCCTTCCCGCTGTAGTTTGACAGTCTGTTCGATGCTGTTCTGCCTCTGTATCTATTTTTGCTCATCAGTTTATAATGGGCTTTATTATCCATAAATGAGTGAGATCATGTGGTATTTTTCTTTCATTGACTGGCTTATTTCACTTAGCATAATGCTCTCCAGTTCCATCCATGCTGTTGCAAATGGTAAGAATTCCTTCTTTTTTACAGCAGCATAGTATTCCATCATGTAGATGTACCACAGTTTTCTAACTCATTCATCTGCTGATGGGCACTTAGGCTGTTTCCAGATCTTAGCTATGGTGAATTGTGTTGCTATGAACATAGGGGTGCATATATCCTTTCTGATTGGTGTTTCTGTTTTCTTGGGATATACTTCATCAATGTTTCTTGGGATATACTCTCATCGATATTTCTAACTCTCTATCCCTCTCCCTTCACTAGAAGTAGGATCACTGGGTCAAATGGGAGTTCCATTTTTAACTTTTTGAGGAAACTCCATACTGTCTTCCATAGTGGCTGCACCAGTCTGCATTCCCACCAGCAGTGCACAAGTGTTCCTTTTTCTCCACATCCTCGCCAGCAGTTGTTGTTTGTTGATTCGTTGATGATAGCCATTCTGACAGGTGTGAGATGGTACCTCATTATTGTTTTGACTTGCATTTCTTGGATGATTAGTGACTTTGAGCATGTTTTCATATGTCTTTTGGCTTTCTGAATGTCCTCTTTTGAAAAGTATCTATTTAGGTCCTTTGCCCATTTTCTGATTGGATTGTTTATCTTCCTATTGTTAAGTTGCATGAGTTCCCTGTAAATGTTGGAGAGTAAACCATTATCGGTGATTACATTGGCAAATATGTTCTCCCATGTAGTGGGCTTTCTTGTTGTTTTGTTGATGGTTTCTTCTGCTGTGCAGAAGCTTTTTATTTTGATGTAGTCCCATTTGTTTATTTTCTCTTTAGTTTCCAATGCCCTCGGAGATGTATCGGTGAAGAAATTGCTTCGGCATATGTCTGAGATTTTGTTGCCTTCGGATTCCTCTAGTATTTTTATGGTTTCCCGTCTTACATTTAAGTCCTTTATCCATTTTGAGTTTATTTTTGTGTAGGGTGTAAGTTGGTGGTCTAGTTTCATTTTTTTGCATGTATCTATCCAATTTTCCCAACACCAAATATTGAAGAGACTGTCTTGTCTCCATTGTATGTTCTTGTCTCCTTTGTCAAATATTAATTGAGCATATTGGTTCGGGTCGATTTCTGGGCTCTCTATTCTATTCCATTAATCTATATGTCTGTTCTTGTGCCAGTACCAGGCAGTTTTGAGAACAGTGGCTTTGTAATACAACTTGATATCTGGTATTGAGATCCCACCTACTTTGTTCTTTCTCAGGATCGCTGCAGCTATTCGGGGTCTTTTTTTATTCCAGATGAATATTTGGAGAGTTCGTTCTAGGCCTGTGAAATATGCCGTTGGTATTTTAATGGGAAGTGCGTTGAATTTATAAATTGCTTTGGGTAGTATGGACATTTTGATGATGTTGATTCTACCAATCCAAGAACATGGTATGTTCTTCCATCTGTTTATGTCTTCCTCTATCTCTTTTTTCAATGTCCTGTAGTTTTCTGAGTAGAAGTCTTTTACCTCTTTAGTTAAGTTTATTCCTAGGTAGCTTAATTTTTTTGGTGCGATGGTAAATGGGATTTTTTTTTAGTCTCTCTTTCTGTAAGTTCACTATTGGTGTATAGAAATGGCATAGATTTCTTGGCGTTAATTTTGTATCCTGCTACATTGCCGAATTCATTTATTAAGTCTAATAGTTTTTTGATGAAGTCTTTAGGGTTTTTTATGTATAATATCATGTCATCTGCAAATAAGGACAGTTTTACTTCTTCTTTTCCAATTTGGATGCCTTTTATTTCTTCTTCTTGTCTAATTGCAATGGCTAATACTTCCAGTACTATGTCGAACAGGAGTGGTGAGAGTGGGCATCCCTGTCTTGTCCCTGTTCTTAGGGGAAATGGTTTTAGTTTTTGTCCACTGAGTATGATGTTGGCTGTGGGTTTGTCATATATGGCTTTTATTATGTTGAGGAATGATCCTTCTATTCCCATCTTGCTGAGAGTTTTTATCAGAAATGGGTGTTGGATTTTGTCAAATGCTTTTTCTGCATCAATTGATATCACTATGTGTTTTTTTTCTTTCAATTTGTTTATGTGGTGTATGACATTTATTGATTTGCAGATATTGTACCATCCTTGCATCCCTGGGATAAATCCTACTTGGTCATGGTGTATGATCTTTCTGATGTACTGCTGGATCTGATTTGCTAAGATTTTGTTGAGGATTTTGGCATCTATGTTCATGAGGAATATAGGCCTATAATTCTCTTTCATTGTGTTGTCTTTATCTGGTTTTGGTATTAGGGTGATGCTGGTTTCATAGAATGAGCTTGGAAGTGTTCCTTCCTCTTGAATTTTTTGTAGTAGTCTGAGGAGGATACGTTTTAGTTCTTCCTTGAATGTTTGGTAAAACTCCCCTGTGAAGCCGTCTGGTCCTGGGCTTTTGTTTGCTGGAAGCTTTTTGATGACTGCTTCAATTTCTTCGATAGTTATTGGCCTGTTGAGATTTTTAGATTCTTCCTGATTGAGTTTTGGAATGTTGTATTTTTCTAGGAATATGTCCATTTCCTCCAGATTGTCTAGTTTGTTGGAGTAGAGTTGTCCATAGTATTGTTCAACAATCATCTGTATTTCTGTGGGGTCTGTTGTTATTTCGCCTCTATCATTTCTGATTTTGTTTATTTGGGCCCTCTCTCTTTGCTTCTTGGTGAGCCTGGCTAGAGGTTCATCAATCTTGTTTATCCTTTCAAAGAACCAGCTCTTGGTTTCATTGATTTTATGTATTGTTTTTTTGGTCTCTATGTCATTTATTTCTGCTCTAATCTTTATTATCTCCTTCCTTCTGCTCACTCTGGGCTTTTCTTGTTGCTCTCTTTCTAATTCTTTGAGTTGTAGAGTTAGATGATTTACTATCATTTTTTCTTGTTTTTTGAGATAGGCCTGTAGGGCTATAAACTTCCCTCTCAGGACTGCTTTCATTGTGTCCCAGAGGTTTTGGATTGTTGTGTTTTCATTGTCATTAGTTTCCAGGATGTTTTTAATTTCTTCTTTGATCTCATTGGTAACCCAATCAATATTTAATAACATGCTATTCAGCTTCCAAGTGTTTGAGTATTTTGGGTTGTTTTTATTGTAGTTTATTTCTAATATTATGCCATTGTGATCTGAGAAGATGCTTGGTATGATTTCAATCTTCTTGAATTTGGGGAGACTTTGCTTGTGACCCAATATGTGGTCTATTTTTGAAAATGTCCCATGTGTACTTGAGAAGAACGTATATTCCGTGGCTTTGGGGTGAAATGTTCTGAAGGTATCAATTAAGTCCATCTGATCTAGAGAGTCATTTAGGATTGCTGTTTCTTTGCTGATTTTTTGTCTAGAGGATTTATCCAGTGATGTCAGTGGTGTATTAAAGTCCCCTACTATGATTGTATTGTTGTCAATCTCTCCCTTGATATTTTCCAGTTTTTTTTTATGTATTAAAAAACATTGGGTGCATATATGTTTATCAGGGTTATATCTTCTTGTTGTATCGATCCCTTTAGTATTATGAAGTGGCCTTCCTTATCTCTTGTTATGGCCTTCACTTTGATGTCTATTTTATCTGATATAAGTATTTCTACCCCAGCTGTTTTTTCATTTCCATTTGCCTGAAAGACATTTTTCCATCCCTTCACTTTCAGTCTGTGTGAGTCCCTTATTCTGAGGTGGGTCTCTTGTAGACAGCAGATATATGGGTCATGTTTTTTCATCCATTCAGCCACTTGATGTCTTTTGATTGGAGCATTTAGTCCATTTATGTTTAAAGTCATTATTGAAAGGTACTTTTTTTGTAGCCATTTCTATTTTTGTGCCTGTTTTCTTTCTTAGCTTTTTATTTCTTCTTTTTACACCAGTCCCTTTAGCATTTATTGCATTGCTGGCTTGGTGGTGATAAACTCCCTTAACCTTTTTTTGTCTGTGAAGCTTCTTATTTCCCCTTCCATTTTGAATGATAGCCTTGCTGGATAGAGTATTCTTGGATTCAGTCCTTTGCTTTGCATCACTTTGTAAATTTCCATCCATTCTTTTCTGGCCTGATGTGTTTCTGTTGAGAAATCATTTCAAAATATAATGGGAGATCCCTTGTATGTAATTT